GCTGAAGTGGGATGGTGGGCTGGAGAGTGCTGTGGTTAAACACATGAGCGTTAATTCTGTAGTGGATTTTAAAGTGGAATTAGGCATGGGTGGCATCATGGTACGGTCACCTTTGGTATTATTTCAGTAAAGCAAGTGTTCAGCGTATTGGATCGGACCCCTGTCACTGTTGCAGGGAGCAGGACAGCGAGAGAAATAGGCAGAATTCTATTACAGGGCCACAGATGACCACAGAAATGTAGTTTTGATTATACTTCCTTTATTTTTTTCAGGTCCAACTTCTCATCTCTGTATCTCTGTTCTTCATGTACTACAGGCTTTTTTCTGTAGTTAAGTCAGAAAGCCATGTAGACTTGCCTGCCCTTTGAAGACAGACTTTTAAGACTTCTAGGAAGATAGCTGGTAAGTCTACCAGGGGATAGCATGTTGGTCTCTATTTCTTCCCTGCTGTAAAAGCACTTGTCCTGGATTCATAGTGTCATTCTACCAGCTTTACTTAGCATATGTTTTTGTTTGCTTTTTAATGTTTAGGAGAATATTTTAAGATATGAACATTTTTGAAAAGTGTTTGGATTTCGTAAGGAAAAACCACTTATAAGAGCATATACACTCATGTAATGATGTGGGAATGTGTGCTAGATATGCATTTATATGACAGAGTTTGGGGTTTGAGAAGTGAATTTTTTTACCATTCTTTTTAATTTTTTAAGAGGTTTCTAGAGTATGATAATGAGTTGTGGGAGTAGGCAGGTTTGGGTAGTAGGCACTTTGAGATTGGCCAGAAGAGTTGGTGACAGGAAGAGGAAATAGGGGCAGGTGGGAGAGCTGGGGACTTTTAAAGTGTGAGGAGCTTGAAAGAGAATGGGATGGGTGAGATACTGATTGGGTGGCACTAGATGAAGGGTGGGAGAGCTGATGATTTAGGCAACAATTAAAGACCAAAGGAGACCGTCCAGTCAGAGAAGCTGAGGTGGCTGGAGGCCGCCCGAGGCAGAAGCCAGCGGACTTAGGCCAAATGGTATTCCTCAAAGACGGACTCATTTACAGGAGCAGCTGTAAAATGTAGTGAGCGTACAATTTCCGGAGAGGCAAGAAACAGAGGTACAACTGATGGAAAATAGAAGTAAGGAGAAAGAGTGGTAGAGCTTTGCCCGTAGAAAAGTTCCACAGGACTTAGGTAGTAGTCGAGACCGGGGGTGTGGCTGAAGAGGGGACCAGTTCTCTACTGTTGCACTGTGTCAGAGGTGTCTATTTATGCATTGTGCTTTTGTGTTATCCTCTTTTTCATTTGGTAAAACCTTCCTGGAATAGAATATTGTGCTCAGTCATTTCTGTGGTAGTAGAAGGAAATGCTCTATACCCTTACAGTTCATAATCTGATCCCCGTATTGTACACTTATTGGGTTCGTTGATAACTTCTGTTTTATGAGTTAGTATTGGTAAAAGTTGGTGAGTTAGCATATAGGAAATAAAATCATTTCATTGATGGGACTGTATTAGGGAAAGAAAGGAGAGGGGTCGCTAAGTAAGATACTTTTGCTGTATGCCAGTTTCTTGAGAAGATGGGAAAAGTCTCCATAGTTTTGTTTAATAAGCTTCTGAAGTCATGGAAGTAAAAAGCCTCTTCCTGTCACGAGTGGGACCTGAGTATATTTGGGATGAGATACTGTGTGTTGGTCAGTCATAAAGTTACCAAGATCATTTGGGAATATTTATTTACCAGAAATGAAGTATTTGTTAGAGGGTACTCTTGTAGTTTCTAATATAACAAATCATAGCTGACACTGAGTGCTAACTCTGAACATGCTACAAAATATCACATCCATTTTAGGGGAACTGAAGCATAGAAAGGTTTAGCAACTTAACAGAAGCCGTATCGTGGAGCTAGGACTCCCTCAAACCCAGCAGGCCTGAGCTCTTAACCTCTGTGTCATAATACATACGACATAGGGAATATTATACTACAATGATGTGATATCCCCCATTATTTAATATGAGCATCCCTTGACTGTTCATTAGGGCCGCTTATTGCCAGGTAGGATTATTAAGATAAATCTTCCCTATTCTTTTAACATTGTTCTAGTTTTATGAAACATTGGGTCTGAGGTTAGCCTGCATGTTCTTTCTACATGTTTTACTTGCTAACCACGAGATCATGACCTGAGCTGCTGACTGAGCCACCCAGGTGCCCCAGAAATGTTAAGTCTTTTATTTTATTAAAAAATTTTTTTTTCTTACATTTATTTACTTTTGAGAGAGAGAGACAGAACACAGGTTGGGGAGGGGCAGAGAGAGTGAGACACAAAATCTGAAGCAGCTTCCAGGCTCTGAGCTGTCAGCACAAAGCCCAGTGCGGGGCTTGAACTCAACAAACTGAGATCATACCTGAGCCAAAGTCAGATGCTTAACCAGCTGAGCCACCCAGGCGTCCCTGTTAAGTCTTTTAAATGAATGTTTTTGAAATTATTAAAGGGCGATCCTGTGGACATAAGAAGTGTGTACTGGTTTCTGAGGAGCAGTAACATGGAAGGAATACATTTTGACCCTTCATTACTGTTAGCACAGAGCACATTGTGGGTCCTGGGGAGTGGCTGGTACTTTTGGTAAAGGATGGAACATAATGTAATGGGAAAAGACTTTGTGATCCATTTGGATAAACTGTATGTGTTACAGAATCTGTTTTAGCAGTTGTTGGGTTCCCATGCTGAGAAGAACACACCAGATGGAGCCGGTGGAGAATAGGATAGAGTCCAGTTGGAAGAACGTGGGACTCTTGATCTTGGGGTCATGAGTTTGAACCCCGCGTTGGGAGTAGAGATTACCTTACAAAATTAAAAAGAAAAAGGAAAAAAAGGAAAAGAGTTCAGAATGGATTCATAAACACAAAATTTAGTAAATGCTAAATGGAACATTACACATCAGTGAGGAAAAGGGTTGCAGAGACAACTGCACTGTCCGTTTGGGGTGAAAAAATAAGCTGAAAAAATAGACTATCCCACTCCTTATACACGATGGAGTAAAAATACAAATGTTAAAAAAAAATAGAATGAAACCATCAAAATCACAAGAAAAATATGTAGACTGCTTTAAAAGTAATGGAGTGGGAAAGCATGATTTAAAACAGTCGTAAGGAAAACCTTTAAGTTTTTCATTTGTATGTGAACCAGTTGTGTGTGAAAACACGCACGCACACATATACACACACATACCGTAAGTCAAGAGATGATAAACTAGGAACATATCTTCAGTAGAAGGACTGATTTATTTTATGCAAAGACTACAGATAATTAAAAGGACAAGGCATACCCTACAAAAGAAATACACATGTGTAATAAAAAGGGAAAATGTTCACTCTTTCTCATTAAAGAACAGCTCGTTAAAACGATGATGAGACTCCAGTTTTCACCCTAGAAGTAGCAAAGATTAGAAGTTAATAATAGTGTTCTTGAGGGATTGGGGAATTGCCCCTGAACTGTTGGTTGGTGTGCAATACTACTGTAACTTTCTGAGAGGTGGGTGAAATGTATCAGTTTTAAATGCAAAGAGCCTTTGAACTGGGTAATTCACTTGTAGGAATTTTCCCTTCAGCAGCACCCTCATATTCAAGATATGTACAAGGAAATATAGTGCTTCCTCTATGTAAAAATGTCCTAGAAAATGATCGTCATAATTCAGCAGACCTCCTGAAACGTATGCCTTCCCTCTCCATAGAAACATGAAAACTTGGCTTAGTTCTGTTTCCAGAATCACCAAAACCTGCTCCTCTCTTCGCTTTACCTGAAGCCTCAGGAGCCTGGTCTTGGTTCTCTTGAGCCACCTGCTCTTACTTAAATGAAAGCAGGTTGTAGAATATTGTGTTTAGAATCCTATTTGTGTAGCATGTCTTTGTGAGAGATTGTGTAGTCTTAGAGCAAGTGATACTGTGTAAATATCTTGTTCTGCACGAATGAGTATATTTCTAACTCTGAGCTTCTGTCACTTTTCACCATCCTAGAAAACGTGCTTATTTAAACTTTTAAAAAGTCATAATTACTGGCAAGCCAGTTCCTGCTTCAAGGATGTCCTCTATCTGAATTGCCCTTTTGCTAAGCAAACTCCTTTACATCGTTCAGGATCTACGCTGGAGCTTCTTTCCTTGACAGCCTTTTCTGTGTTGCCCTCACACTTACCTGTGCAACTAATGTTAGCACCATAGTACAAGACACATCTTTAAACCCAAGTGCCTAGAAAAGCAGGGGACAGAAAATAATTAATCTTAAATGAAAGAATAAAATATTAGGATGGATAAAATATTATAAAATGTGTTGATATTTTTAAAAAGCCATCTTTTCATAATTTTAGATTCATGAGTGCTTTCTGAAATGGATCTAGTTTTCTTGCTCAGCCTTAAATTGCCTAGCTTTAATTTTGAAGTTTGCTCAACTTTATGTGCTGGCAGCTTGTTGATGCAGAGTTTTAGAGTCAAGGTGTAAGGCACACGCTGGGTGGGTCAGGCTTGGGTCACTGGTAGTCTAGAACATGGGTAAGGTACCATTCCAAACCTGTTTCTTCATCTATAAATGAAAATACTAATACTGAGTCATAGTGTTAGGTGGATTAAATGAGATGATATATGTAAAAGCAGTTTTGAGGCTCAGCTAAAAACTAATTCCATCTCGGGGTTCCTGGGTGACTCAGTCATTTAAGCATCTCACTCTTGATATCAGCTCAGGTATTGATCTCAGGGTCATGAGTTCAAGCCCTGTGTTAGGACTCCACTACTTTAAAAAAAAAAAAAATTAGTTCCATCTATCTTTTCTCTTCAAAATCTTTGTTGAGATATTATCTGATAAATGCACATACCATTCTAGACTTAAAATTAAGCAATTATAGAATGAAAAGTTCTAGGACAGCATTTTATTTAAAATTATATTCCCTGAAAATAATTAATTTCTACTTTATTGCAGCACTATTGAAAGTTTTCAAAGAATATAATCGTGTGTGTTGTAACAGAAAGAGAAATGGAAGTATTCCAGGAACTCCGTAAGCCCTCAGCACGTTTGGAGTGTGACCACTGCAGTTTCCGAGGCACAGATTATGAAAATGTGCAAATCCACATGGGCACCATCCATCCAGAATTTTGTGATGAAATGGATGCTGGTGGGTTAGGTAAAATGATATTTTACCAGAAAAGTGCAAAGCTATTCCACTGCCATAAATGCTTCTTCACCAGCAAGATGTACTCTAATGTGTACTATCACATCACATCCAAACACGCAGGCCCAGAGAAGTGGAATGAGAAACCAAAAACTCAGCTAAGCAAAGAAGCAGATCCTGGGAAGAGCCCTCCTCTTCCTGAACACCAGAAAATACCCTCTAATTCAGCAGAACTCCCAAAACCCATACCTGCCCTTTCCATAGAAACACAGAAACTTGGCCCAGTTTTGTCTCCAGAATCCCCAAAACCTGCTCCTCTCACTTCCCTGGAGCCTCAGAAGCCTGGCCCTGTTGTTTCTCCTGAGCCACAGATACCTTCTCTTCCTTCTCCTGAGCCTGCAAAATCTGCCTCTCTTTCTTCTCCTGAACTTCCGAAGTCAGTCCCTGTTATTTCTGAATCTCAGAAACCAATCCCTATTCCTTCTCCAGAACCACAGAAACTTACTCCTTTATCTCCTGAGCCAGTAAAGGCCACTCTTCCTAATCCCAAACCCCAGAAACACTCCCATTTCCCAGAAACATTGGGGCCACCTTCAGCCTCTTCTCCAGAGTCACCAGTTTTAGCTGCTTCCCCTGAACCTTGGGGTCCTTCCCCAACTGCATCTCCAGAGTCTCGGAAGCCAGCCCGGACTGTCTCCCCTGAGCCAAGGAAGCCATCCCCATCGGAATCTCCTGAGCCTTGGAAGCCATTCCCTGCTGCCTCCCCAGAGCCCAGGAGACCAGCCCCAGCTGTGTCACCAGGTTCTTGGAAGCCAGGGCCACCTGGGTCCCCAAGGTCTTGGAAATCCAGTCCTTCAGCATCATCAGGACCTTGGAAGCCAGCTAAACCTGCTCCAGCTGTGTCTCCTGGTCCTTGGAAGCCAATTCCTTCTGTTTCACCTGGACCATGGAAACCAGCTCCCTCTGTGTCCCCCGCATCTTGGAAGTCTTCATCAGTCTCACCTGGTTCCTGGAAGTCTCCCCCTGCATCTCCTGAGTCGTGGAAGTCTGGCCCACCAGAACTCCGAAAGACAACTCCCACCTTGTCACCTGAACATTGGAAGACCATTCCCTCAGTGTCCCCTGAGCTTCGTAAAGCAGGACCTCCCTTATCTCCTGAGCTTCGTAAACCAGGCCCACCATTGTCCCCAGAGATCCGCAGTCCAGCGGGATCTCCAGAGCTCAGAAAACCTTCAGGGTCTCCAGAGCTTTGGAAGCTATCTCCGGATCAGCGGAAAACTTCTCCTGCTTCACTTGATTTTCCTGAGTCCCAGAAAAGTTCCCGTGGTGGTTCCCCTGATCTCTGGAAGTCTTCCTTTTTTATTGAGCCTCAGAAACCTATCTTCTCTGAGACCCGGAAACCTGGACCATCTGAGTCCCCCAAAGCCACCTCTGATGTCTGGAAGCCTGTTCTCTCTCTTGATGCTGAACCTAGAAAACCTGCCCTGTTTTCTGAGCCCACCAAAACAGCCCCTCCTGCTTCTCCTGAACCAAGAAAACGTGCTCTTTTTCCAGAGCCCCGGAAACATGCCCTTTTCTCGGAACTTCCCAAGTCTGCTATCTTCTCAGAATCCCAGAAGGCAGTTGAGCTTGGTGATGACCTACAGACGGATGCCATAGATGATCAAAAGTGTGATATTTTGGTTCAGGAAGACCTACTAGCTACACCTAAGAAACTCTTAGAAGACACTTTATTTCCTTCCTCAAAGAAGCTCAAGAAAGACAACCAAGAGAACTCAGATGCTGAGCTTAGTAGCAGTGAGTATATAAAAGCAGATTTAGATGTGATAGACAGCAAGGGCCAAGAATCAAGCAGCGATCAAGAGCAGGTTGATGTGGAATCTATTGATTTTAGTAAAGAGAACAAAATGGACATGACCAGTCCAGAGCAGTCCAAAAACGTATTACAATTTACTGAAGAAAAAGAGGCTTTTATCTCTGAAGAAGAGATTGCAAAATATATGAAGCGTGGAAAAGGAAAGTATTATTGCAAAATTTGTTGCTGTCGAGCTATGAAAAAAGGTGCTGTTTTGCATCATTTGGTTAATAAGCATAATGTTCACAGCCCTTACAAATGTACAATCTGTGGAAAGGCTTTCCTTTTGGAATCTCTCCTTAAAAATCATGTAGCAGCCCATGGGCAAAGTTTACTTAAATGTCCACGTTGTAATTTTGAATCAAATTTCCCAAGAGGCTTTAAGAAACATTTAACTCATTGTCAAAGCCGGCATAATGAAGAGGCAAATAAAAAGCTAATGGAAGCTCTTGAACAGCCACTGGAGGAGCAGCAAATCTGATTTTTACACTCGGCGTGGATATACGATCTACAGAGTTGTTTGTTGAAACTGTAAAGCCTAGTTAAGTAGCATAGTTGGAATGGTAGATGTTGATGTGTATGATGTACCGTGTTTGTCTCGGTAGTGTTACAAAGGGTAAGCATTTGGTCCTTTTTTTCATGGCCTCTGTTTATGTGGCTGTCTTGTTAATAAATTCGTAACTATATTCCAGGTGGATTAAGATTTCTCTAATTTCTTTAAATGTATTTGAATAATATGAAGATGTAGGCGGTCCACTTAATCCAGAGCAAGTTGTACTCGATTTAAAACATCTAATAAAGTGTATCTTTTTTTGTGAAACTGATTTCAGACAATGGAAATTATTAGTTGGAATGTTTAACAATTAGGCATGAAATTTTTTCTCTCATTTTCAGATCATAAAAGTTATTTTGAAGTTCCTATTTGATCATATAAAGTTAGAATTTTGAGCAGTTCTAGATGTTTATTAGCTTTTACGTCATGGAAAATTGGAGTCTCAGGGTTGCTGATTTTCTGCTAAAAGAAGAGGGGTCAAGTAAGTTTGAAAATATTTGCAGCCTTCTCCTCTAGGAGACTGGGAAAGATGAGTGTGACTTAGACTTAGGTCTTGTCCTTAGATGTTCCCTTTGGGTTCTTCCACACTGCACTGACACCCCCCCCCCCCCCCCCCCCCCCCGCTCCATTCTGGCTCTTTTCTTACCTGTGAGTTCACACCAATAGATGATCCTTAACTGCCAAATGTGTCAGAACTACACTTCTGCCCCTGGGCCTCATGCGCCACCTATTGGGATTTCAGACCTGGTAATGAGTAGGAACTGAAGTCTTCCAGATTCACAGTAGAAAATTTTATAAGTAGACGTTTCTGTTTGAGAGTATGTCAATTGTCTGTTTTCCACGGTTGTTACTGTAAATACCTTGTACCTGTTCGTGGGTTATTTTGTTCCAAAATATTTTGTCAAATGTGTATTGACCAAATTAAAAGCAAAGGCTTTCATGTCAGCAGTATCTTCATGTGTGTGTCTTCTTTTGTGTAATTTTCATTGTATAATACCCAGATTCTATTATTCTTTCCCATACCCCCTTTTTTCAGCATGCTGATTTTCATGTCTGAATAAGCATTTTCTAAGCTGTGTTTTCTCAGCTCTGTGGTCAGGTAAGTGAGGGAGAAGCTACCCTAGGTGAGGCTCCTTGTGGAATATCCACATCCTGGCTGACTCGTGAAACATTTAGTGCCATGAGGATTGGGAGACTACTTTTAATTAAGCTGTTTCTAGACATTTTTGAACAGGGAACACTTTTTCTCATAGCATCATAATTAGCATGCCAATCGAGAAGGTAGTGTTTACAGAATACTGGGAAGGTCTTACAGGCTCCAGGTATCTCCCCTCTTTGAGCAGTCTGGCAGGGAAAGCACTGTGAGTAGTTGATGGTGTTTTCAGTTCACACTGGGCACCTTGAGAGCAAGCTTCTACTACTGGGTTTTCCTTCTAGGCCAACAGTAGGACAGATGGGATATCTTGGATATACAGTGGTCTTTTTCTCATCTATACTGACTTGATTAAAATTACAACTGGAAAAGAGGATGTGCAGCACCCAGAAACCCTTTTGAAGCCTGCAGTCTCAGACCAATTGTGTAATGTATAACACATTTTCCTTAGGACCTTGCATACTTCTCACAGAACGCTTCCTAGACTTTTGCTCAAGGTGGAGCCAACTAGATCCCATGACTTGCCATCTTAGGTGAGTTTTTTCGTAACACAGGATGTTATGCTAAAGTAGGGGGTGACAAATAGTTTTGGCCTCTAAGCCACCATGTTCTTGGCTCATCTTGTTTGTGGCTTTCCACTTTTTTTTCCTTTTACCTCTTCCGGTCAAAGTAACCTAATACCCTTTTTTTCAACCTTGATAATTCTGGTTTCTATATGATAGCATCCCAACTCTAATCAATGCAGCCCTACATGTTCATTTTATTTTCCTATGTAATTACAACTATTTTAAATGAACTCGATCCAATTATTTTATATAATACGAAAAATTGTACCATCTTTTGCTCAACATTCATGGACCTGACACCATTACATTTTAGGGTGGCCTATTTAGTTTTCATTAATTTGACCCTAAGTACATGAACTGTGATGTGTCTTTAGCAGATACTGCTTTTGTTTTAAATATTGGTGTGGATTATAGCTTTTGTCTTAGATGAAGGCCTAGAAGGGTGCTTACCATGTTGGATCTTCAGTTGGATCGTAAAGTGAAGAGGGGCATCTTTTAAGCTGAGTTACATCCCTAGATCTTAAAAACCCTGAAATTGTCCCCATTTCTCAATCTTGCAGTTTCTGTTGAGTAACTTTGAGTATGCAGTGTATTAGTTTCCCCTTCCTGTCCTAACAAATGACATGAAATTTAGTTGCTTAAAACAACGCAAATTTGTTTTCCGACATTTCTGTAGTTCACAGGGCCAAAGTCAAGGTGTCAGCTGGGCTGCCTTTCCTGGAGGCACCAGAAGAGCATCCGTTCCCTTCCCTTTACATTTTCTGTCGGTTCGTGGCCCGCTTGCTAGCACCTACATCTCCTGCTTCCTTCTTCCACGTAAGGGCCCTTACGTTTACATTAAGCCACCCGGATAATCTAGGATGATCTCCCTGTTTTGAAGGCAGCGGATTAGCGGCCCTAAATCTTTGCCATATAAACTTCCATAATCACAGGGTCTGGTGGTTTGGACTTGGATGTCTTTTGGGGCTACAGCATGTTAGACCTGGGCTTGAATTTTGGGGTTTTGATTCCTCTGCTTGACCTATTGCAAGCTAGGTTTCTTCAGCAGTATATCTTCTGTGGCCACCTCACTGTGTACATGTATTAGTACAGTAGACTGCTTGTAGTCTGGGGACTCCAGTGTCAACCCCCATTCACCCTTTACACACAAATAAGGTCTCCACAAGACTGATTTTTATGTTGCACATTTAAGGTCCAGTTACTTAGGATCTTCCATTGGCAAACCATACCTTACTCAAGCAGCCTTCCAACCCTCCCCCTGCTCATTTTTTTCTTCCCCAAGAAAATGCTCCCTCTGTTTCCTGTTAAACTGCTATCCTCACCAAGCCTGGCACATTTCCCTCCACCTTCCAATGCTAGTCTTGGCCAAACTGCATTGTGTTTTAGGAATTGGAGAAAGAACAGAAAAACCCTATAAGGTTGAATTGGGCCTCATTTAGTATTGATTCAGTGCAGGAATGTAACATTTTTGTTACAAATTCTCCAGACTGGAGAGGCTACACTAAATCTGAAAACTGAAAAAAGTCATTGGAATGAAATCAGATGTGTCAACACTTTTGATCCTCACCAATTAATGGCTTAGTTGGTTTGAGCATAATTTTAATTAACTTTTGCTTCCATCACCACCCAATCTATTGCGAATGCTTGTCGTGGGCCTGGTTTGTATAAATGGGAGAGTTTTAGTCATGTGAAATAAGGTAGTAAAAGCCAATCAATTCCAGTGAGGATTCTGGGAAGATGGTGGAGTGGGACACCCCAGGAATCTGTCCCCCCCCATGTGGACAACAATTACACTCATAGAACCTGTCTGATGTAACTATTTGGAACTCCAGTCTCTTGAAAGCTCACAACTTCCAGGGGAAGACTTGGACAGTAAATTTTAGCTCTTCACACAGTGGCAGCTACCCATCCCCCACCCCTGGCCATGTGAGCACCTTGCCCACAACTTACAGGAACTAAGGTGGGTAAAAAGGACCCTGTCTTCCAAATGTTGGGCATCTGTGCTTTGCTGATTGCTAGTTTTGATCAAAGAGGTGCAGGCAGACAGGCATTCTCATTCTATCTCCCCCATTAATGCAATCCCCTTCCCCCACCCCACTCCCACCTCCCGGCTGAAGTGACTTTCAGGATATTTAAAGGGGCAGCACTCCACCCACCCACCTCCCACTGCCCTGACCTCAGTTTTGCTTTTCCCCTTTGGGGAGCCAGACTTTAAAGACTAGGACTTTGAAAAACAGCTGCATGTACAGGGAAAATTAGAAAGTGGCCATGAATGCCCAAGGAAAGGCTCAGAATAGACATAAGACACTTTACACCTCAGGCTGATCCTCAGCGTAGAGCATACAATAATAAGACAGTAAATCCTGGGAAAGGAGGAGAAACTGATTTACACAGTTACACATTTTAGATTCAAATGTCCAGTGTTTCACAAAATATAGACAAACAGGAAAGTGTGACCCAAAGGAAAAAACTTCAACAGAAACTGTCCCTGAGAAAGACTTAATGGCAGATCTATTAGACAAAGACTCCAGAACGATGGACCTAAAGATGCTCAAAGGCCTAATGAGAAGTGGAGAAAGTCAACAAAATGATGTATGGACAAAATGGAAATACCAACAGGGTGATCAAAAACCTAAAAAGAAACCAAGAAGAAATTCTGGAGCTGAAAATACCACAACGGAGATGAAAAATTCACTAGAAGGATTCAAAGGCAGATTTGAGCAAACAGAAAAATCAGTGAACGTAAAGACAGGATGATGAAATTTATCCAGGCTGAGGAACAGAAAGAAAAGATTGAAGAAAAGCAAGCAGAACCTAAGAGACCTGTAGGACACCATCAAGTAGACGAACATACACTCTGTGGGTGTCCCAGGAGAAGAGGGAGAGAAAGGGGTAGAGCAAATATTCAAAGAAATAAATGGCTGAAAACTTCCCAAACATCCAGGAAGTTGTACAAACTCCGAAACACATTATAGTTGAAAGAAAAAGAATGAATCTTGTAAGCAGTAAGAAAGAAGAAAATCGTCACCTACACAGGATCCTCAATGAGATTATGTGCAGATTTCTTATCAAAATTTATAGGCCAGAAGACACTGGGTCAAAGTAAGAGTGCTAAAATAAAAAAACCTGTCAACCAAGAATCAAATATCTGGCAAACACAGTCCTCCAAAAGTGAGGAAGAAATCAAGACATTCCTAGAAAAAAAAAAA